TATTTTTCATTTTATGTTACACAAATTTCCCAGTTCCTCTAGGAGAACTGAAAAGAGTTCCACTTAATTAAGGCTAGAACTAAGTCAAAGAACCATAGCAATCTGATCTAAGTAAAAACCCCTAACCAAAAATCCCTCAAGTGTTTGAGAGGTACCAACCCAAAACTAACTTTAGTAGTCTGAGCATCTGAAGCTTTTTAAGATGCTGAACCATCATCCTTTAATCTACCTAATTGCTCGAGGAGACCCTGAGAAATTCTTGGTTGTTTTCTTAACTAAACTCTTCTGCTCTGTTTTCTTTCTTTGTTTTCATAGTTAAAATGAATCATATCTCTAATGCTATTGAAGCTCAAATGCAAAATTAAACTCAATTCTTTTACCTTAGTGTTAAGGAAATGAGTGCTATTGACAACACTATTTTCAGGCACAACTGAAGCAATGCAAAAAATTAATTTCAGGAATTAGGAGCATGTATTAACCAGATACATTTTTAAAATAATTTAAGAAAGCAGTTATCAAGAGTAAAAATACTGAAGCCTAAAATTACGACAAAAACACAACACTCCAGCCAAAATAAATTAACCTCTAAGAAAAACCGAGTTACCTCTCACCTGGTATTTTCTTGTAGAAGGGGCAGTGTTTTTTTCTTGGTTCTTCACCTGTAGTAGGTAATTCTTTAAATTTTTTTCTCCACCTTCGTTGGCCACCAGAACATACATCTGCAATGGCTTCATTTTTACTTGAACTTTCTGTAACTGCTGCCACATCTTCCACAGACCCCTCAGCCTTCCTTTTTTGCTGTCTGGGCCTCTTTCCATTAGGAGATACTGAACTTGGTATCTGCCTTTTCTCATTCAAAGACGCCTCTCCTTTGCGTTCCTCCTTCGCTTTGGGTTTCAACCCAAAGAAAACACCAATGTCCATTTGTTTAAGTTCTTTGGCAGGACTGGATTTAGTGTTCATAGTTGCTAATGAAAGAGATGGCACTGATTTAGAAGAGATGGGGCTGGGAAAGCACACAGCAGCCGTACTAAGATTTCCTTTTTTCTCCACTGCTGTCTGCAAACTCTCCTGGCGAGCTGTTTTATCAACTGCACTGGAAGTCATTTTATTTGAACCAGTTAAAATGTCACTTGGCTCCCTCAAAACATTACTCTTCTGCGTCAGAAGACAGCCAGCATCTTCTCTGTCTAGCAGTGATGATGTCCCAGTAAAACTCACGGATGCAGAACTCAGAGCACAAGCACCAGCATCTTTTGACTCTGTGGCTCCTGCTTTGGCAGCAGAGGAAATCAATTCTGGCTGTTCAGCCTCCTTGTAACTACAAGCAAAAGAAGATCCACTGGCTACCACCCCTTGCTGAGGATCTAGACGGTTCAGGGTACATTCTTTCCCACAGAGGGTTTTTTTAGTTATGAAATTTTCCATTTTTGCATGCTCATACTGAGGCTTCCTCTGTAAGAGAAGTCCATCAAATGTTTTAAATTCTACACAATTGGAGTCTTCTTCTGAGTTCTGCACTTGGAATAATTTATTCTGTGATACTTTTACTTTTTCCTCCTCTTCCTCTTCACTTTCCTCAAATGTACTTAGTGGTGAGTAAGAAATTCCATAATCATTGAAGTCTACTCCTGACTGCAGCAGACTTGGCTGACTTGTATCTTTCTCCACACACAGATGTTTTCCTGTTTCACTTTCTTGAGAGGATGCAAAATCAAAAAATTCAAATTTACAATGATTATCTGCCATCTGTGGAAGCTGAAGTGTCTGCTGAGGTTTTTCAACACCTGCAAAAAAGGAAGTGCTTCCACTAATTATATTTAGAGACTTCATTTGCGGTGAACTCGGTACCATTGATGCACAGTCATCGTTTGGGGCGTGCTTTATTTCAGTAGAGGGTTTCTCATTCCCTGAGGTTTCCTCTGCATAACTTGGGGAGCAGCTGGGCTTTGCAGCAGAAGAACACATCATCTTCATCTCCACAGTGGTTCCCAAAGGGTTTACAAGATACTCCCCTGCCCTGTTTGCTGCGAGCAGAAAATGGCTGTAACGCTTGTAGTGAGATGGAATGGTGGAGGTGCACTGCAGACCATCAGGACACTCTATGGAAAGAAAGAGTTAAACAAAGGAGCAATGCTAACACCTTTGTGAGTACAGTTGGCACAGTTCAAATAAAAATCACATGTGACACAACATTTAGGACATTTTCTTATAAATACAGCTGCTGGAGGACAGAAGGCAGAAGTAAAAATTAATTTTCAAGCTACCATTGCTCTGAGCTGAGCACTGAGAAGCTTCCAGCCTAAAACCAAACCGCTGCTGCTCATACACAGAACTATGCCTGAATTATACAGCCCATTGTCAAGAATACTTGACCCTGTTTCAGTGCTGGGCTCCTGTAATCACATGGCTTATGGTTTAGAATTGTCCCACATTCAAGCAACAAGCTCAGAGAAGTAGCACCAGAAACAGCCAGCACACTTCAAATATAAGTAGCAAACAAATAAACCAAACCTCAATTCTGAATTAACCTGAAATTCCATTTTAAATTGTCTGATATTACACACTAGGAAAAGAAAGAAAAAAAAAAGTTGTGCATTTACCTACATGAAGAAAACATTCAGCATTGAGATGCTAGGAAAAAAAAATCCATCACACTTTCCTAGGCCTTTCCCAGTAACAATCTGCCAACCTAACTTTTCAGGCTTTTAAAGTGAATGCATAAACCCACCAGAAGGATTTTTCACCTGTTAATTATGGGAGTAAGACAGAAATGAGGTGTTAAAACACCTGTCTTAAATTAAAAGCACTGCCAAAATCAGCATGAAAGGACTTACATGTCATTGCTCTGAAGAAGAAACTCAAGGAAAGTTATCAAAATATAAAAAGGAGAATGGCTGCATTACCTAAAACAGCCTTTTCTCACGTTTCCTGACTGTATGCTTTCTGTTTTACAAAAGTTATGAGGCGTATTAAGAGCATAAATTGAATACCTGAATCTGTTTAGCTATGGTATTTCCCCATGAAACTAGAATTTGGAATGTGACAGTTTTATTCCTCTTGTACAGAGCTCAAAAGAAAACAGTTGTCTTATGATACAGGAATGTTAGTCTCTATTTCTATATAAAATTTCTAAACCACAGGCTAACATTTCAAGTAAATTTGCATGTTTCAGCTTCCAAATGTCCATGGACAACTGAACAAATCACATATCAACACGAATACAAGATAATAAAATCTACACCTAAGAAGATAGAAGCTTCATGTCAAAAGTAGCATCCTTCTGCCTGAAGGTTCTTTTCTAACATTGTAACAGGTTTCATTATTTTAAATATGCACCTTCAGTTTGTTCAATGAAATACTAGAACTTGATAAACAGCCAAGAAACTTCCTGAGAGTTTTGAGATTAGATTCTGAAAGGATACTTTCATGTCAGGTTTCGATGTTTTTCACAAAGGAGCAAAAATTTCATATAAAAATAGGACTGATCAGCAACAACATAATAAAACATGATAAAAATCATACCAACCACCATTTCAGATTTTGAGCTGAATATAAAAAACGAGGTTTACAGCAACATTTCGTGAGAAATTTGTAAGTTTTCTCTGAAAGCTTTTTTCTTACTCTACTCATACCTTTTTCAATGGGTCCTGGAGTTTCCAAACATTCATAGACGTGCCACTGAGGTGTCTGGACCAAGAGCAGAGAGAAGGGCATCTGGCAGCTGGGACAGAATCCATCGTGAACGGGCTTTGCATTTTGTGAGCTCTGTTCTGCCAGGCTGCCCACGCTGTCCTGGGAGTGCACACTACTGTCTTCTTTACATTCATCCACATCCTGAGCTGCCTGTGAGCTCTGCTTGGTTTTCTGAGGTGTACCAGTTTTCTCTGCGGATTTCTTTTTCCTATTTCTCTTTCTTTTTGGCTTGCCTTTGCCAGCACTTACTTCCTGCACAGGAGTGGAGATGCTCTGTGAATTACTCTGATGCTTTCGCTTCCTAATGGATTTGTACTCCCAAATGTCCTCTTCCAATAACCCATCTTCAGACATGTCAACACATTAAATATTCCCCTTTCTTTTAAGCAACAGTTCACAAACCTGCCTTTCCTCCCGCTAGTATATTTTCTCTTCCCTCCACTCTTCACTATCTGAGGAAAAACTCCAGAAGCCCATGCTAAAAAAGCAACACTGGGCCACAAACCAAGCAGCAGTCCCTGATGGGACAGGAGCATGGTGGATCCTATCCCAAAAATAATTCAACGAGCCTCTCTTTGGAGATTTCCAATTTCTCCTGTTACACAGGGCCCGACTCTGCAAAGCCTTCCAGGGTGAGCCATTTCCTTCAGCTTGTCCCCAGCATCGTAACCTCCACCGGGCCTCGGCGGGGGCAGGAAGATTTTAAAAATTCCTGTCCGAGCAGGAAAAAAATTTAAAACAAAACGAGGAAGAATTCAGCTACGGGATCATCGTCGGGGTGTCTCGGGGTGCTCCTCCGGAGTGTCCCCCCGGAGCGTCCTGTGATGCTCCTCCAGAGGGTCCCGGTGCTGCTCCACGGTGTGTCCCAGTACCTCCGAGTGCCCGGGATGCTCTCTGGGATGACCCGGGGTCCCCCAGTGTCCCGGTGTCCCGGAGTGTCCGGGATGCCCGCAGGGATGTCCTAGCGATCCCAAATGTCCCGGGATATTCCCTGGATGTCCCGGCTCCCGCTGGTCCCGCGGGCGGCGCCTCCCCGGCCGTTTCCCGCCGTGGCCGCGCATTCGCTTCCGCAGGTTCGTCACCGCGGCTGTCACTGATCTTCTCCGCTTCTCCCACAGTATGCCCCCCAAAATGCCCCACATCCCATCGTTTAAATTACTGGAGCCTCGTTTCGACTTTTTCCGGTACTGCTCAATTTTTACATCTTAAAAAACCGTAAAACAGCCGGACGGGATACACGGGCTGTGTTGAATCTGCTGCGCGGGAATCTCCACTGTAGGCTCCCTCTGGGAATGTGCTGCTGTGGAAACCAAGGATACGTAAAAACACGGAATAAGTGAGGAGGTCCGGCTTAAGACAGACGAGTTATTGCGTGTCTGTACTTTGTGCTTTATTGTCTTCTTTAGTCGCGGTTTTCTGCCCTGGTGCCCTGGGCGGTGCCGAATGTGCGGCGGTGAAGCGCCAGGCCGGTAAACAGCGCCCGGGCGAGGCGATGGCGGCGGGCGGGCTGGCGGGGCTCCTGCCCGCCCAGACACAGCTCGAGTACGCGCTGCTCGACGCCGACACTGCCCAGGAGAAGGAGAACCTGGTCTACCAGTACCTGAAGAAAATGGACAGCCGCGAGCGGGACCTGACGGTGCCCGAGCTCGGCGGAGGTGGGTGGCGCGGCCCGGGCGGGGCCGGGGGTCTCCCCGGGAGAGGCGGCGGCGCCCCGGCTCTCCCCGTGTGGGGTTTGCCTGGAGGTGCCGCTGCCTGTGAGGACCGGGCAGGGCCGGCCCCGTGAGCCGCTGTTTAAATGGCACTTGAACTACAAGAAATGTCACTCCTGGTAGCACCAGGAGGGAAGGGCACGGCAAAAGAACCCCTTTAAACATCCTCTGCCTGGTACTGGCTGGAAAAACACTTCCTGTAAAGCCTCTCTTCTAAATCTGTTCCCGTCTATACTGTGTATTTATATCTGTCGCCTGTGGTCGTAGTGAGAAACTTACTAACTCTCCCTGCATTCTCCTGAGCTCTCCTGGTTTCCTGGAGCATCCCTCAGGGTGTTCCCCAGCTCTCTGCTCCATGACTTAGCCTCCCTTCTCAATTTTCACGCCCCGGGGAATACAAACTGTGCTGGAGATGTCATTCGTCCTCCTGAGTGGTTTGCCCCTCTCACACATTTCTATGTCTCTCCTTGTGGCAAGGGGGAAATCAAAATATAAGACCTTGCAGATTCCGCTCAGGGGCTTTAATCTTTGAGTCTCCCTGCAGCTGTGGGAGCTCACAGCACACTGCAAGACAGGAGTGGGAGCTTCAGGGTTAAAATCACACTTGTCATGGGAATGAATTACGGATTTTGACCAGTGGAGCAAAAGGAATGCTCTCTCTGCCTAGATTTGTGGCCCTGAATTGAATTTTAGCTTTTGCCCTAGTATTGTTTCAGTGTTTTGTCAAGGCTTATTTTCTCCTCTGAAAAGAGCTCAAAGAAGTAGCCCATGAAAGGTATTTTAATTCTAATGAAAAGGGAGAAATGCTGTAAAATATATAAAATACCATTTTCTTTTGAAAAGTGAACAGCAAAGCTTCTACACTGTAGGAATAATGCATATACTTGAATTATTTTCATTATTCTCACCAAAGCTAAATGTGTGTGCATCCATTTATGTTTATAAAGATATGGAGATAGAGAACAGTCCTCCTCGTAGTGAAACACAAAGCAAGCCTCCTGCTGACTTGAGTAGGAATAGCTTCTGGCGCTATAAGAGCTTATTTTCTGAAACTGTCAAAGTGAAAGTTCAAAAACTAGTTAGCTTTGCATTTTATCATAACTATCTTTTCCTTTTATAAGTTTCAGAAATGCTAAGAGATAATGCTGGCAGACCACATTTTAGGATATTTATTCCTTGTCTTGATGGGATCAGAGGAGGAAAGACTGTTTTCATGTGTCATGTCAAGTGGTTAAAATAAATGACCAGGAGTACTGTTGTGCATATCTGAAAAAGTTTTCTTCCTTCCCATATGACAGAATTAATTGATACCTGTCATTTCAAACTTTGAAAATCAAGATCAAAGTTATAAGCACAAGAATTTTCCAATGATCTCTGAAATCAGTTCTTTACAGAACTGTTGGAAAAAAATCATTAAGAGTTTGACACTTCTAAACCTTTAGTAGCCTTTATGTGAGTTTTAAATAATTGATTGTTACCCAAATGGCATGGTTGGGGGTTGAATAATGCAGATCATGTTTTAGAATGTATGAAATTTGTTCTGAGGCTTACATGTTCTTTCAATTAAAAAGTGCCTGTATAAAGATGAAAAATACATTTTCATATTACAATGAATCTTACTAATAATATTTTCATTTACTAATTATGAAGAATTGCAAAACATAAGGATGAGTTGGATAAATAAAAGACTTTCTGTCTGCTTTTCTACCTGGATGAAAAGGGATGTCAAACTTTCTTTTTTTTCTTTCTTTTTTTAAAGTTTTTTTTAGGTTAAAAGTACCAAGAACTTTGTGTGGTGTTGGTGCCTTTCCCTACCCTTCCCCTAACTAGCTGTTGCTGTTCTCTGAATTCCAGATCTGCAATGGTTAAACACTGAAGGTCCTATTTCTCTTCACAAAGACCTTTGTGGAAAAGTTGTGGTGTTGGATTTCTTCACTTACTGCTGCATCAATTGCTTGCACCTGCTGCCTGACCTCCATGCCTTAGAGCACCAGTTCTCTGATAAAGGTAAAAGTGCTTTGGCTGGCTCAGAATAGAATTTCCTGGCACTGTTGCAGGCTGAGGAGCTGAGTCACTTTGTTGCTGGTTACTAAACAGCTGGCAATATATCAGGGGTGTCTAAAAATGTCTTCTAGTCTTTTAAGTAGCCTAAAAAAGGTGGCTGTGTGTACTTCCATCGCATGTTTAAATGGGCTAAATAAAGTGTCTGTTTTGTCTGTGTAATTAGGCAGACAGGATATGTGCTTAAAGCTCAAATCTGATACCTCTAAAAATAAGGTGGCTTTCAAAAAGCTGCTCAAGAATGTGAGATACAGGTGCAAAATTAATATAAGTAGGTAACTTTCTAACCTTGGCTGAGGAACCAGCTCTGAGAAGAATATAGTAGATGTGGTAGAGTGAATATAGACAGGTGGTAGAATCAGATATAGATTACTGATTTTTTCCATTGGAACTGAAATAACAAAATATGTAAGTTTGATGTCGATTTTTTTTTTGTATTGGCATCATGTTGTATCCCATTAATAGCCCAGTATTCTAGAGAGAGAATTATGGCCTTTTAAAGTCACATCTGAAATGAGATCAGTCTCACTCTGACTGAATAAAAATGAAGGGTAATTTCTGTTTAGAATGCAGTGTCTTGTCATGATGGCTTGTCAGAGATAAGCTGTAGTCCTACACAGAGTGTGTCAGCTGCTCACTTATCTGGGATATTTTAATTGGCTGAACGGGGAGGTGAAGAACAGTGTTACTTTCAGCCCTAAAATACTGTATTAAATACAATATATATGCAGTAAATAACATTGTAATGTTTGATTCTCCATTGCTGTTTGTGATTGGTTTTAATTTTGGCAGTGTTTATTTTCGTGTGTTACCTTTTTCACTAGAGAAAGAAATTGCAATATATTTGAAATTTACGTAGTGCTTTAGATAGGTTACTTAGTACCTCACAGAAGATTCAAACTAATTTTTCTACCTTGGAAAGCTTAGATGTTTGTTTTGGAGAAATTTGAGATGCAGTGTAATGTTTCAAACAATAGGAACTTGGTCTCAGAAGAAAAAACCTTCATGGCATTTTTTTGGGAGGGCATTAGTTTTAAGTGGAAGGTGAATGGCAAATGATAAGTGAGCTGTTGTGGATCAGACATGTAGGGAAGGAGGTCTAGATACAGATTTTGAAAGATTATATTGGCATAAATTGAATAATACCTTTAAATTATAACTATCTTATAGTATCCTATGAGTGTAGTAATATAGCTGTCATATCCTCAATCTGGTTTTTAACTCTAATGTGTTAAATCAGGTGATAACAAAATACTCATTTTAACAACCTCTCCCCACAAGCTTTCTCCTAAAAGTGCTTGAATATCTTTATACTGGTGTAGAAGAGGCTGCAGCACTCTGAGCTAAAAGCCCACTTGGAGACATATTTTTTCCTTTGACTTGTATTAAACTTCTGTCACAGGAGTTACTCCTTTGCTGATGGCCGATAAATTATTTTCGTATTTGAGCTACCCCTGTAAGTTTTCTTTGGGTTTGGGCTATCCTGTTCCTGTAGAAACTGAAGTGAGAAAAGAGATGCTTGTGGTAAAAGTGGAGGTAAAAGGAAAGAAGAGGTGTGTGGAACATTAATCTTAAATTTAAGGCATTAGGAAAGAGAGGATAGCAGCTGGATTTAGTAAGAGATTAAGGTGCTTGATAGTTCAAAAAATACCTTGGGTTTTTTTTCACTGTAGATCTCCCTTTTGGTTCTTTTCTGCTGTTTTAGTGTTTTGATTGTCAACCCTTTCAGGATTATTTAATCTCTTTTTGCTGTGCTATGTGTCTAAATCCTAACATTACAGTAATATGTATAAATATACAAGGCAGTAAGGGTGGTGTGTTTTTAAGCCATGGAAAAGTTTTTCCGTACGTGGTCTTATATCAGTGTGGATCTTCTTCACACCAGGCAAACGAGATTTACTAATTACTAGGAGAAAGGGAAGGGGAGAGTTGTTGTCTTGAGAGGGTTGAGAAAGATAAAATCTGAAAGAACAAAACATCTTGCTTGGGCAAAGCATCTGTCTCATAATGCGTTTGGATCTTCAGTCTCTTGTTTGAATACTTGAAGGAATATTTTTTCTTAGTTACAGGAACAAACCTTGATGTAATTGATGTACATTGTGTACATACATGCTCTGATGACTTTGTTTCAGTGTGGTTCAAATGCCCTTACGTGGAGCATGTTGAAACTTCAGCTGTGTGATCACCAGACAGAAGTTTAAACACAGGAGGCTATAATGTTAGGGTGATCCTAAATCATTATAAATGTTATAGCACATGTGCCATAGCTCTATTGTCTGGAAGTTCAGGAGATCTGTTTCAAAGTGAAGGCTGCTTTCCATAGGATTGAATGTCGCCCAGCATCTTTATCTGATATGCTCTCGCTGCTATCTTCAGTGGTGCTATTTCTGTTTTTCAAGTGGCATTCAGAAAGTTATTTTAAACCCCAGTGCATATTCAGTTCATGTTATCAGCAGTCCAGAAATTACTTCTATAAGAGGAAGTACTTTTTAATATTCAGAAATAGCTTGGCATAAATCCAGTGTTGTGCTCTGCTGTAATCCTTCAAAGAAAGTGTTTTAAATGGAGTGTATATTGTTATTTCTGAGCATAGCATCCATCATTTCCACAGGCATTTTCCTCATGAGGGAATGTTGTACCCTACTTGTGCTGTTCAGGTGTTGACTATAGAATTGTCTTTCCAGCTTTAATGATGTTTTTGAAGGACAGATACAAGCGCTGGTGCTGATCCCTTCACAGTTAAAATATTTGACCTGCTTTTTGGATTTCAGCAGTTAATGATTGCACAGCTTCAGCTGTCTCATACTGCAACATTCTACATGTTCCAATAGAATTAATAAGACTGTAGCAGTTATAGTGAATTTTTTATTTTGTAATTGTGAAATTGTTATATTAAGCCTGCCTTGTTTGTAATGAGTGTTGTTTGTCATTTTGTCATAGTTGTTAGTGCTGCCATTTTTATTTGAAGTACAGAATACTATATTGATTTTGGAGGCCTATTCATTATATCTTTTGCTGTTTATCTAGAAGTAGTTATGTCCAGGCAATTCTGGAATTCCAAGATTTGGTGTTATTTTTGTGGCTTCTAGTTAACTGTGAAGAAGAATTTTCTAAAACATCATGGTTGTGTACAGGAATGAGAAGACACAAGAGGTGTCCTAAGTATCTTAAAAAAACCCAAAGTATCACTTGAACAGCTACAACTTACCCACAATTATTTTGAAACTATTTTCTAGTCTAGTATATAGAGGTTCAGGAACTGAGAACAATTCATGTCAGCCAGCCGGGGAAGTAATGGTCCTAAAATGTGGTAATTTTACCTAATAGTTAGTTCTGAGTTTCAGTGTTTTCTGTACATAACTATCTATATTCCTACTGAGATAAAATTGCTTTCTGTTTGTTCAAATCCTCTCTCATTCTGGGAAGCAGTCAGTCAGATTATAACTGTTCATTTTTCCTTTTTCTTTTTTTTCTTTTTTTATTATTATTCAAATGCAATTCAGTGGCACAACTTCATTTTTCTTTGCAGATGGTCTTGTTATTGTTGGTGTCCATTCAGCGAAATTCCCAAATGAAAAAGTTCTGGATAACATTAAAAGTGCTGTTCTGAGATACAATATTGTCCACCCTGTAGTAAATGATGCAGATGCAACACTGTGGCATGAGCTGGAAGTGTCCTGCTGGCCAACTCTGGTCATTCTTGGGCCTCGTGGAAATATGCTGTTTTCTCTTGTTGGAGAGGGACACAGAGAGAAATTGTTTTTATTTACTTCTATAACACTGAAATTCTACAAGGAAAGAGGACAAATCAAAGATAACAACATTGGAATAAAGCTGTACAGAGACTCCCTTCCACCTTCTCCTCTGCTGTTTCCTGGCAAAGTGACTGTAGATGATTCAGGAGGAAGGTTGGTCATAGCAGACACTGGGCATCACAGGATTTTGGTTACTCGCAAAAATGGACAAATTCTACACACTATTGGAGGTAAGGACACATGGGTAAGTTTATTATAGCAATTTCAGTTTAGGAGTAGAGTGTGTTTGCTGTGCCTCCTGGGCTGATTCTTTTCCTACAGGAGCTGGCAGTTTGTAAGCATTGCCAGAATTTTGTTTTGAACTAAAATCACTTTTACTCAGTTTGGGGGGATATGGTGTAAGACCATCAGTGGGAGATTGTTAGTAATTGTCAGAGATGCCTAATTGTTTTTTGTTGCTTCATTGACTAAAGTTCATGTTTGCATGTGATGTCCAATATGAATTACAAAATGCATTTAGTATTCCTCTGAAGGAGTTGCAAATGGTTTTAGGTGTAAAGGATATGCATCCACATCAGGCAGCAAGATAGGGAAAAGACCAGAGGCTGTAATGCCTCCCTTTCCAATAGAAGTGAATTTTGAGTTGTAGTGGTGTTGTGAAGAGAGGTTTTTCATGTGTGTTTTTTGTTTGGTTATTGGGTTTTTTTGATGGAAGGACATTCCTGTTTAGGATCTCCTCTGGTTTCACAAGCAGAGGAGAATTACTAAGAGCAGTGGCATTCCAGTAAGTACACAGGCACCTGAGAATGCAGTTGCTTTATTACATATAAAAACACCTGTCTTCTCATCAAATCTGAGATCATAATGTATAAACAAATTGTGAAAATAGTGAAAATATTTTAAATTTAGGCACATTTGTTACAAAGTTTATATAAGTTACATTTCAGCTTCAGAAAACTAAAATCCATAGTTGCTTTTGTGAAATAACAATGTGCTTTACAATGAATGCAAATGAAGACAATTTGCACATGCTTTGTATGCTTTACTGTTTCAGAAATGAAATTGTTCTTTTTTTAAACCTATTAAAATGGTCAGCTACATCTTAGTGCAGCAAGGATGTAACTGTTAGTACAACCAAAACAGACGGATTTAGGAAGTGGTTGAATCCTCAGATTATTGAAAACAATGGTTTGTTTATGCCTCAGAATCAGGACCTGTGTACTGATGTGTCTTATATTACTTAGTCTGGAATTGACTAATGCCTGCCCCAGGGCAGGATCCTACAAATCTCATAAAAATACTCTTCTGTTTAAAGAAAGGAGGAAAAATTCTCTTGCTATTTGAAGTAACACTGCATTGTCTAGACAGGCTATTTATCCAAGTTAACCTGACTTATCATTAAGGTGTTAGCCTAAATACCTTTCTCCTGTAGGATGTGCAAATAAGCATGAGAGAATTTGGTTTCTGCTTGATACGTGAGAAGTCTCTGCCTGCAAGCTACCCTTTAGTGTTCTGGGACATTCATTAAACAGGAATTCAGGAGTGTCCTAAGCTCCAAACTGGTGCCCTCCTTCCTGTGGCATTGTGTGCTGTTCCCTTCCCTGGGGATGTGCACCCTCACACTTCAGGGGGAGGTGCTGGAATCTGACACACCAGTACTTCAGTCCTGTGTGTCTGATAAGGTCTAAACTGATTTCTGACAGGAGGTTGTAAAAGTTTGTGTATTTCAGTGACTCAGTTAAATGATTCAGTGGGCAGAAAATAATGCAATGAAGTTGATAATGCAGTAATAAATGTGGGCAGGCACAAAGGTTGAAATTGTTATTTGCATCATAAATCATGGTGCACACGTAACTCATACCTAAATGTCTTCTGCTGACACATCCTGCTAATGCACTTTAAATGCTACCTCCTCTGAAGTACAGTGCTTTACCTTCAGACTGTTTTGTTCCTTTCTATTTCCTGACTGTTGTATGCAGAAGAATGTCACTCCATCATTCTTAGTGTTCTTTTGTGTAATTAGTTCCATGTCATCTTTTTCCTAATTAGTTTTCTTAATGAGAAAATGTTGGTAATCAAATATTAGTTTCATTTGTGATTACACCAAAATCTAAACCAATGATATGGAGTTGAGCTTTTGAATTTTTTTTTTCCTGCTGGCTTGCTTTGATGTAGTCAAAAATAAAAAAAAAAAAACTGTAGTTTTTTTTTAATTTTTGTCTTCCATTGTTGCTGTTGTCTTTTAGTGCAATTTAGAGCCCTATTAGGACTCCTCTAGAACAATTTAGAACCCTGTTAAGACTTCTCTTTAAAATATGAGCTTAAAAAAAGCAGAAAACTTGTGCAGAATGAGTTCAGAGCTTAATAGCACCAGGCTATTTTGATTACATAGCACAGTGACTAAAATGAGACTACACCAAATAGTAATAATATAAAATGTATAAGGTGCTGCTGTGAAAGCAGCTCCTGGAATATGTAATTCTCCTAGAGGTTTAAATGTGTGCATTTTATTTTTAAAGTGACTTTTTTCAGAAATTACTTTTGAGTTTGGTGTGTTTTATTTATAGGTCCAAACAGTGGAAGGAGAGATGGAGGATTTTCAGAAGCAGCTTTCAACTCACCACAGGGAATCGCTATAAAAAATAATGTTATTTATGTAGCTGATACAGAAAATCACCTAATTAGAAAGGTAAATTTTCCATAAGGATATTCAAAGTTTAATATCTTATACTGTATTCTTCTTACACAGGTGAAAATTTAAACCACATGAATTAACTCTCCAAATAACATCAGAAAGGAAATTTGGTCCACTATCTTATAAAGAAATACTGTTGTGCAGGGCTTTTTTAAGGGCTACATATACTTTTGTGCTTCCTTTCAAATGCAAGTGAGTTGGTCTACTCCTTATAGCATAACAGGGTTTTGGTTTTAGTTTGGTTTTTTTTCCTAGTCAATCTTACTTTCCTGTTTTGAGAAACATCTATTCTTGGTACTGGAAGCAAAAACTGGTTTTGTTTCACTTCCAGTAGTGTCAGATTCTTATCTACAGTTATTGTAGTGCTCTGGTGCAGTGAATATCCAAACTTCCTTGGGCTGTTTGGGTCTCTCAAATGCAGGTAAGTGCCCAGAATTAGCTGCAAGTGTTTTCTTTTTGATTAAACACTTGGAAAGTTTTGGCATGTAGGAATTGGATCTTACATTAGGTTAGGTCAAAATTAGGATAATCAGAAGGAAAGTTTGATGATGCAATATAATATTGTCTTATTATTTGAAGTATTGTGTGCATCTCAGAAGACCTTGGCCTCAGGTCCTCACCAATATCCCATTTGTGATCAGAGGTGCATCCTTAATGCATCTGAGGTGCCTTTGTACAGATTATTTTATATGGAGATGGGAAATACAGTATGTGAGTTGTTATGTCATACTCCTATGTAATTTAAAATTTAAAAGCCACATCCGTTGTTTATCTAAGTATTTATCCAGAAATTTGTGATGCTTCCTTCTACAGTTGTCGAGCAAATTCTGACAGAGCAGTGTTAATTTTTGTTGCAAATGGAATAGTGTTCCACACACATGATTTTCATTCTGCCTCTGCTTCCCCACCCCCATACCCCCTGTCCATCAACAAGCATGATGATAAAATTAATTATTTCCCAAAAAAAAAAAAAGCCAAATGCCTGATATTTGTTAGGATTTCTCTGGTTTTGACATCTATCTCAAATTATTTATAACTTTGGTCAAGTTAATTTCATATGTTCATTTAATGTGTCATTTTGCTTCACACAGATTGACCTGGAGTTGCAGGTGGTGACCACTGTAGCGGGCATTGGAGTACAAGGTGTTGATAAGGAAGGTGGAGCAAAAGGAGAAGAGCAGCCCATCAGCTCTCCGTGGGATGTGATCTTTGGAAGTTCAAGTACTGTATCAGTTGAGCTTTACTATCTCATATTTACATGTGTGACTGTTTGCTAAATGTTTTCCTGTTTTGGTATTAATCTGAGACAGAAGAAGTAAAGATTTACTGTAAAACTGAGTCTAAAACACAATAGTTTATATTGCAAATGGTAACTACAGTTTTGTTTTGGATCCTGAAATGTTACTTGATGGAAGAAAAATTCTTTTGTGTACAGGTATGTATTACTGGATCCAAACACAGAAAGAAATAATGATTACTTTTGTTAGGCCAGTGCCATAAGCCAGGATCACTTAAGAAGCAGGTACATTTTACAGGAAGCAAGTATTGTCTAAAAGTTCCTTTCCTTGACTATACAGACATGTCCAACCACTTGTAAATATTTGAGTTTAGGAAATAAAAATAATTTTATTGGGGACCATTGTTTATTCCTGTTGAGGTGACATAAAATCATTAGGCTCAAGATCACCATAGAGTCAGTCAGACAGGAGAGGAATACCTGAGCACAAACCATGCAAGCATCAGGAGATAAAATAAATCTTTGCATAATAGGATGCAAGAATCACCTTCTAAGGACTTAATTAGCTTTCTTTCCCAATTCACTTAACACACACCTGAGCCTGGCATCTCATAGCTGCCATGTTTTCAGCTGTTACTGACTGTGACTTTCTCACAGTTTCATTTTCATGGAAACTTTCTCATGTTTCCATTTCAGTCTAATTTAGAAGTTGCAGATGCCAGTTTATGAACAATGGCAGAACAATGCTTTGATGTGGCGTAAAACCCTTAGATTGGTATTTCAGACATGAAAAATTGACTTCCAGTATTGGAATTGTTTTTATCTGCAGAAGAACAGGGTGGGGAAGGAGCATGATTTATCTCTAATATCTTGAAATTAGAGGTGCTTTGCAGGTTTGGTAACATTTACTGACATGGAAGCATTTGTTAAAATATTGTGTCAGTTATGAGGGAGGAAAATACACTGAAGTGTGAGGGAATTTAGAATCACAGAGTGGTTTGGGTTAGAGTGGACTTGAAAGACCATTTTTCCCGCCCTCCTGTCATGGGCAGGGACATCTTCCACTAGACTAGGTTGCTCAAAGTCTCATCCAGCCTGGTCTTGAACAATTCCCAGGGATGGGGCATCCACAGCTTTCCTGGGCAACCAGTGCCAATTCCTCAGCATCCTCACAGTCAAGAATTTATTCCTAATTTCTAATGTAAAACTGCTCTCTGTCAGTTTGAGGCCATTTCCCCTTGTCCTATCACTGCATGCCCTTATCAAAAGTCCATCTCCAGTTCTTGTTTAGCCCCTTTATGTACTGGAAGGTGCTGTAAGGTCTCCTTAGACTGTTCTCCAGGCTGAACAGCTCTATCTCTCTCAGCCTGTCTCCATAGCAGAGGTGCTGCTCCAGCTCTCAAATCGTCCTTGTGGCCTCCTCTATCCTTGGTCCAACAGGTTCATGAAGCTGCTTCAGAAATGCTCATAGTGTAGAATCTTCTGATATAAATACATTGTCTGATACAAATACATTGTATAGACAGAGTACAGCCTGCAGCCTGGAGTACTTGAGTGAGCAACTGGGGTGTGTTTTCAGATTTAACACTTCCATTAACATGTTTTGTACAGCAGAAAAGCACCTTTTTTTCAAAGGTCTGGTCAGCAACCCTTACAGTTGTTTTCAGATTTAACACTTCCATTAACATGTTTGTACAGCAGAAAAGCACCTTTTTTTTCAAAGGTCTGGTCAGCAACCTATGCATTCCCTTAAGCATATGGAATCCTACTTGGAAGGGCAAGGAGAAGCACCTGAAAGAGAATCTCACTAGATGTGGACTGCTGCTAATGCAGGCACGAGTTTTACTGAATTTTGTACAATCTGATTTTCCTTTTGTGAACCAGGAGAGTTGTGTGGCTGGGTGGTGTCATTTTCAAGAGATCTTGAACCAGAAAGCTGATCCCTGTGGGATATTATTGCAGAGCTGTTTCACAGATCAACAGAGGGGACTAATAAGTGATCAGTGCTTCAGAAACTTGAGGTGGTTAGCAGAACTATTCAAAGTATCCTATAATTTTACTTTTAATTTTTTCATTTTGCTTTCTTCTGCTTCTGTCAGTAGTTAAATATATGATGATTTTATTTTTTAGTTTTGAGAGCTCTGCTTGTTAAATGTTAATTGATATGATAATTGTTATCAACATGAACATAGTATTTACTGAGTTAGTCACCTGTAGAGGATTAGTCATCTGTACTGTTCAACACTGCTGAATTTTAATAAGCATTTGCATAGAAATCAGATCTTCTGAATGCACATTTTCAGACCTATGCAGTTTTTTTGTATTCAATTAGAACCTACTAGCCAGATGTCTATTTAGATTGCCACAAAATACAATATAAGCTGTCAGTTAAGCAGAGATTAAATCAATTTTTTTTGAGAGGGTAATAAGCCTAATAGATAAAATGGAGAGAAATATACATTACTGAAATAGCAGTAAATTCTAAAATTCTTTAGAAAACTACAACTGGAGAGAGTTGTAAAAATGGAGAGTTACATTGAATGGAATGTTAACAGGAATCTGTCTCAGAACACGAGGAACCAGGGCTGCTGTGCACGTCTAGCAAGGCTTTTTTACTGTCATAAGCTGCAGTGACTTCTTTAAGTTTGTTACCAGACATCAAAATAGTTTGTCAGAAATGCAGCAGGGTTTGCCAAGGTTGCATTGTTGACTTACAAATTGCAAAGCTGAGTCGCGACTTGCTTGAGCGTGGTGGGGTCTTCTGCTACTCTGCCGTGTAACATCGAGTGCATTTGTGCCTCTCAGAGTGCTGTCCTACAACTTACACCCTGTTATCAGAACATTAGAACTGGCCTGCCAATGTCTGTTCAGGCATTTGGATGGGTCAAGTAATTTATTAGAGTTTCAAAAATTATTTTTGTTGGCACCCACACAGCAGTGTCCTTTTTTTTTACGTATGCTTATATCTTTCTGTGCAAGTTGTAGGAGTTAACATGCACTTCAGCAAATGTATGTTCGTTATTACAAATTTTAAAAGTTTGATTTTTGTGTTAACTGGTGTGGCATGTGGGAAATAACACCGTACCTTCCCATTTTCCTTAGACCTATGTAGCTTAAGCTCTGCAGTTTCAGAAGATAGATTTATAGTTGTTTATTTAAATATGGATTGTATAGTTTTTAAACAAGTGGTACTTCTGGGAATTTCCTTTCAGTGTCCAAAGCCATGCTAACCAGAACATGAAAGGGAGAAAAAGGAAGTTGAAATGTTTAAGTTGGTTATGTACTAAATTAGATAGTATTAAACAGCTTATGCTGACCTTTTTCAAAGTCTCAAAGGGGAAAGATGGAGAAAGGTTTTTCCTTTCCTGACATTTCTTGAGTTTACTCCTATATATGGTTTAGGATATGTATTGGCCAACTGAAAAATATTATTTTTTCTTTAAAACCTTAATATGTAGGTGGTTGAGAAATGGAAAATACTGAGAAAAACTTTGAGGACATAGATAAGTCAATATTCAGAACTGATGCTATGTAGCATTCTTTTAAGTATCCACATAGTATTTTCCTAAGTAGGCTTTTGTTGCCCTGTTCTATGCAGAGGCTGAAATCTGAGACAGATTAAGGGAGTGTGAAACACCATTTAAACCAAATTTGGCACAAATGTTTCCCTTTGAGGCAGGGGAGTTAATGGAGACAAAACAGATGGTAGGATTCAGAGTATTCTTCCTTGTCATTTTTTTTATTTCTTCAGTTGTGGCCACTGAGCTTGTGTTTTACCCCCCTGTTAAAATTCTTGAATGAACTCCATGGATTAAATTCTGGCTTTGCTGAGGTTGGTGCTGAAATTTGCATTGATATAGATTGTGTGGGAAGTAGAAGGGGAGGGACAGCAGCTTAAAAATACATTATAAAATTACTGTGTGCTTTTTTAGCTTTCTCTGTTGTGCCCTTCTATTTTTATTTAGTGGGTGTTGAAAGCAAGTGATACTTTAATGCACAGTTGATTTGAGCATGAAATGTTCTTGATAGCTGCATTCTTGCTGGAAGGAACAGGACAGTGACCTGTGCTTGGTGTCTTAACCATGTGTTTCACATTCCAAAACCTGGTCTTAAACTGCATGATTGGAATCTATTTGTAGAAACTCCCAAGTACAGTATTGACCATGCTTTCAGTAAATTTTTTGGAATTTTTTACAGCAATTTAAGTATTATGTAGATAGGATTTAAATGAAAGTACAGTACCTTATCATACTGGTGCAATTTTTATAGCCCTTAAAAGGCAAAAGTATGTCAGATATTTTTCATCCTTCTCTGTGTTTCTGCTAGAGGGTTATTTGGTACCACTGCATTCCAGAGCAAACATTTTTTTCTTCTATTACTCATGGTGACTCTTTCATAATGTAAAAAAAAACTAAAAATCACTTAAGCAGTAAGCAATTAGCATTTCCTGCTTGAGCTCAGATCATACACGAAGTGTTTATGTGTGAACTGCCTGTATCTTGAAGGATGCTTTCTTCTACATGTCACCTTTTTTCCTTCTAATCTGGTCTCATTCTGTCATTGAGGCTGTGGCTGTCACTGTCCTGTGGAAGGAATTTTCCTGGGTAATAGCTGAAAATAAAAGAGCTGCTTTTGCTGTCATCAGGCTTTAATTTGGAATAATTTTCCTGGACAAAGCAAAGCTAGAATTCTCCCAAAGATATGTTGTGTATGTGATATGACTTCCTGATTTAGTGATGTGGATTTACTTTGAATGCAAAAGGCCTGCTCATCTCTTTAGCAGTTTCCTGTGCAAAGTACAAGCTCACAGATACCCCATTATACAAGTTTAGTTCCACAGAAAATCATGGTAAGAGACATCACTGACACAAAACTGTATTTTCTTTATTTTCTTGTTGAACTGGATCCTAAATTACTTGTAAATAGCCATTGTTTTTTATTTGAGATTCTTGGAATTTCAAAGAAGAAGTAACTTCATTAAAGA